ATACAATCTAGCTCACCCAAAGGCTGTACTCGTCAGGAGTCCCCTCACCTAGGCACCTGGTCAGGGAGGTGTACAGGTGGCAGACAACAGTCTAGACTGACCATGAGGCTGGGCCAGCCTCTGAACCACACTCCAACTACTATATAGCTGTATCCAGAAACTACCATCCATCTCTGACGGTTACCTGAAGACAACTGTCCACACCAGCTGTCCCTCAGATTCCTTGCCCATCTCTACCAAATCACTGTCAATGTTTGACCTCACTTGGTGCTTCCCATTTGGTCTTAGGATTGGTCCTTTTCCTACCCAGCTTCTAGGCCGGCCCATGGCCTCTCCCACATATGCATTGTGAGATCTTAGAGGAGTCACACCACCATCAAGCTTCAGTTTCTTCATCTATTGAAGAGGGACTTCTTGACCAAGGCCACATGGCCCAAGCATCCCCAAGGCAATCTCCCAAGAGCACGCCCATGTGCACACAGCCTGGGATTTATCAACTCTTGTCAGCCTTAGGCTATCAGACCTCATTTGGCATCCTCACACCAGATCAGACAGGTGTCTATATTGAAACTTTATTACAAAATTATAAAGCAGAGCTCTGTAACAAAAATACACCTTGGGGTTTGCTTTAACACCCAAGTTAAGTCTGAGAGAATTTTAATATAAGCCACTTGAAGAAACACATTTACATGCAAAAGATCAACAAATGTACACAATATATATTGAGCACTAATTCCTGTACACATCATTCTTACCAGTTTGGATCCAACCATTTCAACACATTATGAACCAGTCAGCTATCCAAGTCTTTTAAAACAAGTCTCAAGTGAAATCTCAGAACAATCACAGCAAAGCCACAGAATAATTGTGAATTAGATGTTTCCATGATAATTAAGACCAAGGATCTATGAGAGGCAGGAGGGAGCATTCAAGGATAAAAATCATGTTTTCTATCTAGGTGAGACAGTCACTGAAATGGGATATTAGAATTCTTTTATTTGGTATAATAATAAGGTACCTGTCCACTGCCCCCTCCTACCACCAAACAAAAATCAGGGTTATTTAACACCGTTTTTCCTAAGGGAAACCTTCACCAAAAGAAGTTAGAAGACTTAAAGGCAACTTCTTTCTCCAAAGTAACATCAGTTCTAATTCTTACTGAGGTCACTAACCAACCATCAGGATATTATTATTTTTAATTCATCTCTTAGAGGGAAATTGAGAGGTAGGGAGAGGTAAGGTCCCAGCAGAGAATTTTAAGTAGGGAGAGAGCCAACTTCTGCCCCACAGTTATTGCTATATCTTAACTGAGCTGCACATATGCAAACCTGTTTCACAATACAACTGAGTAGCAGCTAAATCTTTTGCTAAACTGGTAGGCATTGTAAACTATAGTATTTACCATCCAGCAGAAAGGTGAGATGATACCTTCACAGAGAAATCGCTTGATTTCCTCCAGATGCCTACAAAGGCTGTAGCCCAGATCAAACCATCCAGCACTTGGTAAAATGTTGAGATAAGTTACCCAGTATTTAGCTGACAACTACTTTATGAAATTATTTCATTCTTCCAGAGGGGATTAGTGGTTGAAGATGGCAGGAAAACCTCAGTATGTCTGCACTGGTAAACAAGTCAAGTCCCCTTACAGGTTTCCTGCTGCTTTCCAATGTCATGATTGGTTTGTCTAGTCTGAAAGACCTTGGCTGCATCATGGGGGCATCTGCCAAGGCCCTCAGGTGTTTAGGGTTTGCATAGTCCATCCAGTAGTTAATGGTAGCACACAGCTCTTTAACAGCCTGTGCTTGTGCTTGGCTAAACTTCTCCAGCAAACTTTAAGTCCTTTGGCTCATTAGTGGTATAAAGATCCTAAGAGGACTCAAAATCATCACCTACTCATCGCATGGTCCTTCCTAAAGGGATTAGAGAATGCTGCTTCCTAACCTGCACCCAACTCAGTAGGCTGAGAAGTGAAATGGGAGAGAGAGACAGAGTCCTCACCCACCTGGGGAAGTGAGACTTCCAGCTGTCTGCCCAAGAGCTGAATCCAGCCTCGGTTAGTCCCTTCTGATAACTCCTAGGTGCTCTGCCTTACATGCTGTCTCCAGGAATTTCATGAGAAGTTTAGCTAGAGAAGATCAAGGCTCTTTGCCTAAGTCTCCATGCTTCAGTGAGACCATGCTTAGAACCTCCATAGGAAAGAGGGACTTATATTCAACGGAAGGTGTTTTAAGACTCCTGTCCACTAGAGAAGTCAAAGTTAGGCAAAAACTCATTGTCTCCACCCAGCATTTTCCCTTTGCTCAAACTAAAATTAAGGATGGTGTAAAGTCAGGCCCCAAGAAAAGCAGAGGTGAACTATGCGCCATCTGTTGCATAGAGAGACAAATTTCTCAGCAGGTTAGAAGCCAGATGGCCCTCCTGGCCTCCAAGATCACATCACGGTACAGAGCTTCCAATCCCAACACTTAACAAAGCAACTCTTAATGACTGAAAATTTTCAATAGCATTCGTGTTTCATTTCTCACCGAAAATCAGTTTGCTGGTCCAAACTCTGTCCTAAGGAGGATCACCATTGGTCTGCTAAACTAACATCTTTTTGGTCTGAAGAAACAAATAGATTTTAGGCAATGTAGTAAGAGACTTTAGCAAAGGTCGGTTAAAGCACAGAAGGCTAGAGAGACGAGAGATGAATTCAAAACGAATCCAAATGTGCATTTGGAGAGGACAGTCATTCTACCAGATGTCTGATTGGTGAAATAGAGGCAAGCAGCTCAGTGGGGGTCGGTGGGGTACAGAAGGATGGGCAAAACTGTTTAGGTTCTCAGAGGAAGATATGGTCTAAGTTATGGAAGTCGTGTTTTCATCTACTACCATCATCACATCAAAATCACTGAACCATGGACTTGCCCATGTGATCTATACCTGTTCCCATTGGCCTCAGGCTCTGCCAGCCAAAAGGTGCACCCCTATGACAAGACTGGCATGCACAGAAGTGACACAGCATTTTTGCTTGCCCTGGTCTGGGGAACACTTCAGATTTTCTTGTTAGCCTGCCCTCTTTGCAGTGGGCCAATCCTGAGCCCAGACACCTCAAGCTATGTCTCTGTAAGGCACTGAAGGAGCCGGTCCAAGCCCTCAGGATAGGAAGACGTGCACAGCTCAAATCACGTACTGCCAGCAGATGGGACATTCGTTCATGTGCTTGCCACACTAGGTACACGTTACCATGTGGCCACACTCCAGCAGAACACAGTCAATGGGTGAGTCCATGCAGATCCTACACAGGTTCTCCTCCAGTCTGGGTGGCACTTCTCCCCCTGTACAAACACAGGGCAGAGGGGACAGTAAGAAGTGTCTAAGTGTATGGAGCAGTGGGGGAATGGGGGTGGGACAGAACAGGCACACTGTGAAGAAACCCCCAAATTCACATACTTCCTTCAAAGAATTCCCAAAAAACATTTCCCCAGTAACCTATTCCAGATGCTTGTTCAAATCTACAACCTGACTTGCAGAGGTGCAGATGAAGAGTTAAATATTTGTAGCTCAGATATATCCCAGAACATGAGAACTAAATATGGCAAAGTCCTCAAAGCTTGAAGGAAACAATTTTCAGACAACTGAGGCTGTAATATATAGTGAATGAGTGGTACTTGGGGGCTCACTATTCCCTGAGGCAGAACATGCTGAAAAGATAAAACTGGTTCAGATAAGTTCAGATATGAACAGAACTGTAACATATGGTTCATTAAGGATTGCAAGGCTTAGCTGTAAGTCAGCTTAATAAATTAATACATTTATTGACTCTTAATTTTATAAAGCCAAGGCTCATAAGCACCCCTGCCACCAATCTACCTCCAGGCCTCCTCTGAGGAGACATCCTGGTGGAAGGGCCCAGCAGAGATCACAGCTCCTTTTCTGTGCTACCCCCACAGAATTGTATTCACACCCCCATGGGTGCTCATCACACTGGATTAGAATTTTTAAGTCTAATTTCCCCCACTATTCTATGGGCTCCTTAATTCAGCAAATTTAATCAGTTTCAACAGTTAAATGCTTAGCATTTATTCACTATGTGCTCTGAGGTCAGATATTCCTCTTTGAATCCCTAACAGGCTGGCACACAGTAGGTGTTCTCTAAATGTCTGAGAAATAGACCATCTTCCAAGGCAATGATAACAGTGCACATTTACTGAATGCTCACGGGTACCAGGCAGGGTCCTGAGAGCTTTGCATGTTTTAACTCATTGAATCCTCACAAAAACTTATGAAAATAGATACTCTTGTTACTTATTTTACAGATGAGGCTTCTGAGGCCAAAGAGTTAAGTGGTTCACCTAAGAACACAGCTGCTACGTGGAGGAGCCTGGATTTAAGGCAGGCCTTCTGGGCAAGTAGCATGAGGAAAGGGTCTATCAAGACAGTACTAAACACTTGGTGCACAGTTCTCACCAGCAGCTAACTGGCTCGTACAAGTGGTGAGATTCAGTGGACATGGCTGGTAGCCTCCCAGTTCAGCTGCATGCAGAAAAACCTTCATGTCCAAAAACACAGCCATCCCCAGCATGTTTTAAGTGGCAGCCTGAACCTGGCAGCCATGACTAGGGAACTAGTATCAGTCATCTCTATGGTTCCACAGAGGAATTCTCTCATACTGTTGCTATTTAAAAAGCCAAGAAACACATGAAGTGGGCTGGCTGTGCAAGGGAGTGAGATCTGTTTACCTCCTTCAGGAGCAGTTTGCCCTAACACGGAAGATCTGGAAAGGACTGAACTATACAAATAATCTAAGATGAACTGGAGTAATTGATAGAATATATACTGATTATTTCTCCTGGGAATAACAATAAACTCATCAACTCAGTTGCCAGGATTCTCCCAGAGTCAGAGAAAGAAAGGAAGATGTCAGGGGATTAGTCTGACCTTGGTATCAGTGGGGCTAGAACTCCTCGGGGAACTAAAAAGAGCTCAGCCAAGAGACTGCCCCATTCTGAGCAAAAGGCCATTTTACACTAGATAAAAAATTTGGAGAGTCTTCTGAAAAGTTTTTAAATGCTTTGCAACCCCCTGCACTATTCAAAATACTCAGGGAAGAGATCACAACCAAATAACCTTGAGGCTTTCAAAAAAGCAGAGCATATTTTAGAACGATGCCCAGATCCAGCCAGATTCCTGGAGTGCATTTTTGGGGTACCTGAAGGTCCAGTGGGGGTTCTTTAACACACAGTAGATATGTGGCAATTAAAGTGGAATATGCATCTTGTGTAGAGAGAGGACCCTATGTGACGCTTTTCCTGATCTGTCCCCAGAACAGTTCTAACTGCTGCCAAGCCCTGTATAAACAAGGCTTTCACAAGTTACCAGCCTTTCTTTTCAGTTGGTTCCAGAAACTGTTCAACATCCCAGGTGGTTTCCCTGAAGGTGCACACAGAGACCTCGCCACTCAGACCAGAATGGAGTGAGAACTGGAGGGGAGGGAGGGCCTTAGCCCCAGGAGTATAAAAAGTGAACTGCATGTGACACATGCCACCACTCACTTTGTTAAATACTTTACAAATGTCGGCTTCTGAGCTCTGGCAACCCAGAGGCGCACAAATCAGCCTGCCCTTAGGTAACGTGGCTGTTCTCCCTTCTTAGAGAGGAGAACAGGGGTTTCTAAACATGCTGAGACGCCCTGGTTCTCAATGAATTTCCCCCACATCCTCTTCCTGGATGCTGCTATGCTCAGGATTCGTAGGTATGAAAGGAATCAGGGTGGAAGAAGGGGAGCCCCTCCCAGACGAGGGCAGAAGAGCCAAGAGCCCAAGCCGTTTCCCAAACAGAAACAAGTACATACCATTTTGGTCCTCAGCACCACACACTGAAAAGGAAAGAAAGGAAGATGTCTGAATATGTGATGCCTTGAGGAAGGTCTCCAGCCATCCAGAGTTCATTTCTGAACTCTAGTTCCCTGCTGCAAAGCAGGCTTGTTGGGAGCCCAGACAAAGACACCCGTCCTCCGCACTCTACATGCTGACAACTCACAGCTCCCATTGGTACTGGTCTAGTTGTAGAAAAAGGGATTCCACTGGTCTACATGAACAAAACTGCCAAGCAGGAAGGATACTGCATATGCACAACATCCTTTTCTATTGCTTTTGAAGTCAGCATCGAAGTCAGAAAGGACAGTCCTTTCCAGTCAGCAACAGAGTCTGGCCGGAGTCCCCTGGTGGAGCCTCCTTTCCTATTCCCAGGGCCTCCCAACTCTGAGGAGTTCTGGAGATAATCCCAAAGGGAAGAATGAGTCTCTGATCAGATGACTATTCAGCCATCCCCGAACTCTGATGAATTTGAGCTACTGGGAGAGGAGAGCCTGAAATATGACTTCAACCACTGTTAGCATGCAAGGAATCAAAATGTTGATCCGCAGAAGCTGAATCAGTTGGGAGAGGATGACTCTGGGGAAAATCATTTTGGGAAATGTGGAGCTCAAAAACAGCTAATTACATTTCTCTTCTGCAGGATTTCTTTGCCTTTACTATTATTATTGTGTCTATCATGAATCAGTAACAGCGGTGGCGGTGGTGGATATTTTACTGGACACCACCTGAAAATGATACCATGTAGAAGCTTTAGGAAAGGAACAAATGGAAGAGCCCAAGTGCAGACAGAACAGATCTATTCTCCTCGCACCATGTGTGCAAAGATTGGCTTCCTAATCTCCTATTTAAAATAGTGTTGGAGGTAGTAGAGTGTGGTGGGGGTAAGGCCGTGGACTTAGATCAGGAAACCCTCAGTGCAAATCTGGGCTCTCCCATAAAAAGGGAATGAATGCCAATCATGCCTATTCTATAGGCAGCTCTGAGGCTTAAATAAACATACAGACTGCCTAACCTGGTCCCGGCATTCAACCCCAAATGACAGCTATTAATAGATGGTGCAAATGTGTAAGGTGACTCCCTTCTTGGCTAAAAGCATTGAAATTAGGTCAATACTATCATGCTTAAGAGTTGACAGCAAGCACTCTGGAACTCCATGCAGCTGCCACCCAGACAGCCCTCACCCAGGTGCTGGAGTCCTTTCTGGTCCTTGTACAGCCGCGTCACCCTCTCCATCAGCTCCCACTTCTCACAGCAGCCCTTGTAGTTGACGAAGTTGCGAGCCAGGATCTCTTTCAGCTGCCGCACAGTCAGACCTTCAATGTCCCCCAGGTCAGTCAGGTCAGACAGAGAGGCTCTCCGGCCTGGGACGAAGCTGTCTTCTGAGTCAACGGACTACGGAGGCAAAGATGAGATGGGTGGGCTCAGTTCTCACCCCCATGAGTTCTCACCAAGGGCCTCAGAACATTCATCACACTATCTTTTGATGACTGGCTTCAGGAAGAGTTGCAACCAGAAGCACGAAGAGTGCCCGCACAGGGCTCTGCATTGTACAGCAGACCAGCGTCTTCTGTGCTCAGGCAAGCCAGCCACAGATTGACTGACTGGTGTATTATAGCAGAAGGGGCACTAGTGTGAATCAGATGACCCTAGTTTTGAATTCTGATTCCCTCAGAATACTACTGGGCCAGTTACCTCTCTAAGCCTGTCTGCCCTTCCATAAAGGAGAGACGGCTGTTCTACCACAGGAGGTTCCTGTGAAGATTAGATACAGCAGCACAAGACACCAATGAGCATGGTTCTGGCCTCTCTCCCTGCCCTGGAGAGAGCTCTGCTGTCCACAGTAGAGGCAGACCTCCCTGGCAAGCACTCCTCTGTGCACAACCTTGACCACAGCTCCGTGGAACTGACGGCTTTGTCCTCTGGACTGGCCCCACCATGGCTGAGGCCTGAATTCCCTCTTGTCTTCCCTCCTCCCCAACAAGGGCTACTATGTGCTAGAAGCAGAAGAAGCAAACAAGATTTGCCCATAGCATCAAGAGCCTGTTCTCTGGCAGCTCTCAGAAAGTCAAGAGACTGGAAACTAATGCGCCATGAGGCTCTCCTTTCCCCACTGTGACCTCACAACTTCACACTAACACACTGACAGCTTTAAGGATTAATCTGGAACACTAACACTAAACTCCACCCTTGCAGACAGAATTTCAGCTGGACTAGCATCACAGACTGGTTCTTTTCTCTCCACTCCTGAGTCTGCTGAGAGGTTCCTAACAGCCTGAGAACACCAATGAAAGGGCAGAGGTCCCACCTGGGTCTCATCCTCGGCAGGTGCTCTGGCTGTGCTCTCCGGGCAGACAGGTTCCTCTTGGTCCTGAGCCACATGGCCATTGGCCTGCGGAAAGAAAAAGGAGCCATCACATCTTGAGATGCCCTAGGGATTTGCACAGCATGGACCTCTTCCCAGCTCACACAATGTCCAAAACATACTCCCATCTCCCCCAGAAATCTGGAGTCTCACACAACAGCATCACAAAAGCCTGCTAATCCTGACTTTGTCAGGCAGGGAAACAATACAAATAGATTTCAACTCTAGAACAAGAGTGCATTAATTTTGCACATCACTGAGATGGCACTCAACACCACTCACTGTCAATTTAGCCTCAGCTTGAACACTCTGAATGAAAGGGAGATAGTGCCACTGTTCCACTCCTGGACTGCTCTCTATGCCATCAAGTATTTTTTTAACTCTGATCTCCCAAACTGCCCTCCCTTTACCTTCTACCCATTATCCCTGGTTTTGCCCCTCAGACCAATGCCCTTTACTTCCTTCCAAACTGTTCATACCATGTCTTCCCATCATAAGATAAGATAGCTTTCAGACTCTTGCCCTCCCTTCTGGTCAATCACTGCTTTAATATTCCAGAAATGTGCTCCAACCAGCAGGGCACACTATGACTATTTCAATGCATCTAAGAATCTATTAGCCTAAGACTTATTATGTAAGACAAATGCCTAAGTTTAAGGAGTTTCATTCTGCTTAGAATTCTAACTTGTCACAGAAATTCCTCCTAGGTACTCCTTCGGGCTTTGCCAAAGGGTAGTCAGAACTGTATGTCTCCTAATTCCATCACCTGAAAGCTACAACCTTAACTAGATCCTCTTCACCCACTACTGCTCCAGGCAAAGGACTTGGTGTGAGGCCAGAACAAAGAGGTGTTTTGAGCTAACAGGCCTTTTCCTTTAGACTCTCAGAACACCTATGAAGGGACAACATGGGAAACCAGTCACCTGCTGGCCCCAGCCACTCATCCCAGATCAAGATGCATAATATACTTAGGAGGCAAGCAACTCCAATGGAAATTAAAAGTAGAAATCACCACTACCATCACCAAAAATGCCAAATGGTAAGAGCATACATACAGCATATATGTACAAAACAATGTCTTCATCACCACCTCTAGTTTCTTCTCTGCTTTATGTAAATGTGGTCTCCAGTGGCCTCATGGGTCACCTCGGAGTTACCAAGTCTTCCAGAGCCTATTCTGTTCCTAAGTAGGACAGCTTTTGTATGTCTTTTTTTACTGAGAAGGAGAGAGTGGACCTCATACTGCAAGCATGCTCTTGTCTTTTCAGTTTGCCCACTGGCTAAATAAAATCTACAAGTAGTATCTGTCCATTCTGCTTTTTCCACACACTTCCTCCCTGAGCAACAATTGGTAGGGCAATAAAGGTAAAGGAAAGAACCCTGGTGGAGCAAACACTTCAGGTTCACATTTCAGGTGCACCACTTGCATAATTGTCAGGTAGCTTTGCAAAAGTTACTTAACTTTCCCATGTCTGTTTTTGTGGCTTGCAAAATGCAGATCTTACCAGAATAGGGGACATGAGCCGTTCCTGAAAGCCCTCTGAAAACATCAAAAAATATCCAGTGAGATCTGGTACATACTGTAACCTATAGGTACAGTCTGGAAAGTTCTGATTAACAACAGGAAGCTTAAAACCTACTCCTTTCATTGGAAAATCCACCTGAAGGTTCTTTGTGAAAAACAATTTTCTCATATTGCTCAACAAGGCAAAGGGAGGAAGGAAGTCATAAAGGAGGTAAAACCTGTCCAGCAGCCAGCCAGTCAAAGTTTAGGAGAGTTAAACTCCAGCTGGGCTTTAACACATGCTCAAGCCAACCAGGGGGCTACATGAGTTTACTGCAGGTGGACTGTGCTTTGACACTGGCCTTTATGCTTCAGTGCCGTCAAGAGCTGAATCAGGGTCCCTGTCCTGGCAAAGCAGGTGATCATAAACAGGCAGCAGCCATCCACATTCTGTGTGGGAACTGACAACACTAGTACTGTGCCAGGTCTGAGTAGCTCAGAGCTCTTTAGACACAACTTCACACTGGTCAACCCTCCCAGCATCCTGGCAACAGCAAAATGGTCTAACCCATGTCACTGTTAAAGGTTCAAAGTTTGTCCAAGGTGACCAGAGAGTCAGTGACAACTTGAATATGGAAACCAATCTTCTAGGTTCTAATCCACCAACTACTGCCCAAGCCATATAAACAAAAGGGTCACTGAGGTACTAAAGTGTACCTATGGGACACCATCACTCCTTACACAAGGATTAAATCCACAGGCCTCACTCAGATCCAGTAGTCAGCTTGCATGTCTGCCTTCCTTCTTAGAGGGGCTGAGGGCAGAGGCAATGTATTGCTCATTTCTGTATTTTCTATCCCTGGCTCATAACTCAGTCAATATGCCCCTCTTGGCTTACCATTTCCAGGCCCCATGGATGATGGTCAGGCAGCTGCCAACCCTGGTCCAAACAGTGAGCAGCAATGTCTTCATCTTGGCCATGGTGTTTCCCCACTTACCCTCTGTGCTTTTTTCCCCATGTGCCTTATGATGGCTACTAAGAAACTGAGTTCCCCATCCTGCCAAGGAAGCCCACAACAAAGGCAATAGGAGCAGAACTACGTCTGCAGAGTTAACAGTGCGTAATCTCAAAATATTTCTGGAACAATGAATTTAAAAAATTTTCTGCAATATATATTTAGTAAAACCCATAAAAAACTTAGTACTGTGACAATGGGGTATGGGGGGGACTCAATAATAAGGGTGAATGTAGTAACCACATTGCTTTTCTTGTGATACCTTCATAAGAGTATATGTCAATGATACCTTAATAAAACAAACAAACAAACAAACAAATGGGTTTCTCCCACTAAAAAAAAAACCTAGTACTGTGCATTGTCACCTCTGGAAAAAAAATCAATGTGAGTGTGACATCCAGAAACCACTTGTGCATCAGTAGGCAAAAATTTGTGCCCCACATACTGCAGACACCTAACCTCACACCCACTCTGCAATGCAGGCAGGAGCCCTCAAAACAGGCAGAGAGCAGCAGAGACTGCAAACCAGCTGGCCCGTACCTGCGGATTTTCCTGAGCCTGGGCTCGGGGAACGAAGGTGGCTTGTGTGGGTGAAGAAGAGATGCTGGGTGAGGTAGGAGGTATCGTGCTGGTGTGTGGCTGGGTCAGGAAGGCCTGCTGCTCAGGGAAGTCCGGGGACAAGGTGGAGGCATGAGTCCTGCCCTCCTGGGAGATTACAGGCTGTCGGCCAAGCACCAAGAACACCAGCTCCTCTTTCTCCCGGCACATTTCGGTAGAGATGTCATGGAGGCTGAGGTAGTCCCTCAGGTCCTTCACCTTCATCTTCATGAGCTCCTCCCGCTGAAAGGCTGTGGCTCGGAATCGCTGGCAGAGAAGGCAGAGGCGGGGCCCATTCCCCACTTGGCTTGAACAGGTCATGCAGAAATTTTTCTTACAGTCCAAGCAGGTCTGCTGCTCAGAGCAAGAGGTAGAGGAAACCACGTCAGACTGGGAGAATAGGGCAGCAGGATGGGAGTTTAGGGCTGCCAACGTTATGAGACCTCCTCGAGGTACTCATACTTTTACTAAGCTACCTCCTTTACCTAAGGGTGGAAGCTACCTTGCAGATTCAAGCTAAAAGTTGCTCAGAGGTGACAGAAACCCCCTGCAACCATCTGTGTACGCATGTTCAGGACATTACATTTATTATTCCATTTGAGGCTTACTTTATTCATTTTACTGATAGAGAAATGGAGGCTATTAATTAAGACTACCAGCTTTCAATAAAAGGCCCTATTTATTGTCTCCCTCCCTCCATTTCTTGTGGTATCATCTTGGATGTGTGACTTAGCCTCTCTGCCCCTCAGTTTCCTGGGGTAACACCTTTACAACAATCCTATGAGGTAAAATGGGGGTAATATCTTTACAACAATCCTATGAAGTAAATACTGTTAAGAGAGAATGCATTTAGCACACATGGCACATGAGTCTGCAATACATGTTTAACTGTTTTAATTATTATTGCTAAGAAATTCAAGTTAATGATGAGAGCCAGGAATCAGATCCTGTACAATGATTCTTTTTGCTTACTGCTGATAAGAAAGCAAATGCATAAAAAGCTTATGGCGATGGTTGCTACTATTATTAAACTTACTGAAGGGCTACTATGTGCTAGAGCTATGCCTAGCTTGTCATTTCAACTCTCAGAGCAACTCCGCAAAGTAGGTATTTGCGTACCTCCATGTTTAACAGAGCAACCAAGGCCTAGTGAGACTATCATATTCAAGGGTAGGCAGTAAAAGCAGAGCTGGGATCCACACTCAAGGTCTGTTAGAGTTCAGTGTCCACAGCCATGCTCTTTTCACCAAGCCATGTTGCCTCACTTACTCCCATTCAAGCCTAGAGCAGCACCGAGTCAAGGGCCTGGCTCTCCACCTCCACCCAGCCCAGAGCCTCATCCACAGAGGCTGGTGCCCAGGCTGCCTCACTCAGAGTGCTGGGAATTCAGTGGGGCATAAGAGCACACCCAAGATAAATATTTAGACAGCTATAGGAGGCCCACTGGACATGATTATGGAGCTCTCGTTTGTGAAAGTACAGTGTCACAGCCAGGCAATGAGAGCACCTAGCAGTCAAGTTGGTACTGCTTGGCAGCAGCTACTCCACAGTCATAGACAACACAACACGGAGGCTTGCTCAACTCACAGAAAGCAAATTTAACTTCTCGCCCCATAGGCTGAGTGAGCACAGTGACATCTGACTGGGCTCCATTCCAGCCAGGAGCAGGCCATGCTCCCACAGGATAGGTAACTCCTGGGCATGCTGGGATGGTCCTACAGGGCACACTCATTAATCCTTCAAAGAAGTTAAAAACGATCCATCCTATGGTGACTTAAGTATTGACCTAAATATTCCTGCCCCTTTTCTAAATATAGAAAGCTACTTAGGCTAACTTAGACTCTCATAGTTGAAATCACAGGCATTCTGCATGAGCTGAAGTAAAATTCTGCATAGCTGAGGTAGGTAGTTTTGTCTGTAATTCATGTAGTAAAAGGAAATGGGCACAATATTTACTATGTACTTTTGACTATTAATACTTTGAAGGCATTATGGAAGGGCACATATCAAGCTCCCTCATTCTCTACACAATTATAGCCAGATAATAAAGTGGTCAGCGACTGACTTAAATGGATGCACGTTGTCACTAGCATCAGAATGTACACAGCATACAGATCTGGGACCAGCAGCCACTCAGGTGGAAAATGGGTTTTGAGGGGCATTTGGGGGGTCCATTCATATCTAAAGCCTTTTATATTGGTAAATGAAATGTGTTTAAGATGACTGATAGTGAAATGAAGAGGCTTCAATGTCATAAAGCTGTAAGTCCTGACATGGAACACTACCTAAGTCAATGCAATTTGACAAGACCTAGCCTGACACATTAGAAAGCCCTGAGTTGCTCAATTAGCCAGATCTGAACAACTTTCTTTCTTCATGTGTGGCTCATTGGTCACAAGATCAGACTGCAAACACAGCAACCGAACTTCTGTGTACCCCCAGCTAACCAGGGACTCTGAAGTCAGCCTACATCTAAAAAGATACCCTAAAGGAGTAAGATAGTGCTCGAGGCTAAAACCCCAGTCTGCAGAAGCAGGAGACAACACAGGAAAAGAAATGACTACCAACAAATGTGGGCAGAATGCGCAGAGGAAACACGCATGTGTAATTCTAGCAAATGGTGAAAAACAACTGAGTAACAAGGTAGCGTGAAAGATGAATTAGCAGAGCCAACAAAAATCAAACAATATCTTGGCCTGCAAAAATGTCATGAGTACAAGCAAATGTGCATCTGAGAGCTGATGGGCGCCACAGACAGAAACCGCGCATCAAGGGTGCCCTATGGGTTGCTCCCCGGGGCTACTCTGCTCTTCTCTTATTCCTACCACCTCCCCACCCACACTCCCTGGTGCAGGCCAGGCCCATACTCACCCTACCAGCCCCCTGTCCTCACCATCCTTCCTATAGGCATTCCTTCTTGCAGCCCACTGGGAGGAGAAACGATTAAGGCCTGGCTGGCCACTTCGTAGCTAGGGAACTTGTGCAAAACAGACAACCTCCCAGAGCAACAGATTCCTCACCAGCAAAGTCAGATGGCCAGCCTGCTTCTAAGTTCTACCACAAGCTAATGTATATAAAACCTTGACATAAGGGAGGCACTCACAAAAACGTAACACAGTTCCCTTTTATTCCTTTCCCCTTAGCCTCATCTCTGAGTTTATGCCAGCATTTATGACTGTGGAGTAGCTGCTGCCAAGCGGTACCTCCCTCTCCCCCTCGGAGATTTGAATATTTCTTCCATGTTTCCAAGCACAACCTCTTCCTCATCCTTGAACTGGTCCAGCTAAAGAGGCTGGGGGCCAAACTCCCTCCAAAACTGTCAGGGCTGCTGCTGACTATATGCAGTGTTACCAATTCAGATGGCATGTTAGCTTGTGACAAAATTACAGCCTGCCATTTCTCTTCAAGACTAGAAACCCGAGTAAGGCAGGGTTACTTATGTGCTCTCTATGAAGTCCTTAATGTTCTCTGTACTTTGTACCCAGCGAGCATTCAGAAAATACCAACTGCAATGGAGAAAAGAAAAAGACAGTAGGCTCCAGCCACATAATCATTTCAATTCAACCACTTCTAGAAAAGACATTTTAAAACCTGTGGCTGTCATTTGCCAAACCCTTTGGATAATGCTGATCCACTTAAGCATGAAATTACAAATGGAAATTTCTCACAGGAGAAAACATCCTTAATATTCACAGAACTTACTGTGAATTATACAAAATTAATTCATGCTTTTCTAGCAAGAAAATGTACCAGTAACAATCTTTTACCATCCAAACTGGAACTTTTCTTCTCCCACAAAAGCTCTTCTTGCTACACAAGCTTTTTCTTGCCTCTGTGTGTGGCTCTGTATTTGCCCCGATCTTTCTATCAGAGTGCAAGCTCCCTGCTAAATAGGGACAACCTTTTGCATCTCTGTCCTTCGAGCCCAGGCAATGCCCAACACACAGTAGATATTCAGTACTTCATTTGTCAATCGATAGGAAAAAAATTTGTTATTTTAAGCACCACCCTGCTCCTAGGCACCAGGCCAATTTCCTGTGATCTTCAATGTGACCTGCTCCTCTTATATTTCACCTGCCTTCTTCTGCTGTGTGCCCTTGCATCTTAGCAGCTAAGCACCTGATCTCACAGGTTGACAACCACTCCTTCACAAGACCTGGCATGAAGAGTTGCTCACTAATGGTACCTATGTCAGCCTTAAGTCACCAGCCTTAAGTCACCACCCAAGACCAGGGTCAGATTAACTGACTGCTTGCCAGGTATGTAAAAGCTCCCATGGAACTACTCCTACTGCTCCATCAAACCACCCTCCTAACGAGCCACACCTACTACCTGAAGAGGACTGGTCAGGTCGTTCCTTTGTCCAAAAGTCTGAGAGCTAGAATCTCCTTTCTGGGGCAGCCAGTAAGCCCTTCATCACTTGATCCCAACTTTGTTCCACCCTAACTTCCCAAGTATCCTGCACTCCAGCCAAATAGGACACTCATAGTTCCCAAATACACTTTGCACTTGCCCCATATCCAGTGCCTCTACTGCAGCCACTGCTTTGCAAATCTATCAACCTTTCTTCATTCAGCTAGAATTATCATCTAATGCCTCAATTTACAATGCATGATTCCCTAGTACTAGATGTGTATGCAGCTATTATTAGTTCTTTGTAAACATGGGCCTCCTTTACCAGACAGTAAGCTCCTTGAAGGAAGGCCTATGTCTTAGCTCCCTCTCCAGAAAGCTACAACCTCTAGCTGCTGGTAAGGAATTGGCCTCTTACCAGTGAAATGAAAATCTTCAGCATGAACTTGTCAGCCATAAATAATGAAAATAGAAACTCTCTGGCCTACTTCCTCTTTTTCAAACTGTTCAACTCAATTGTCCATTCAATCATTTTTTAAAAATGTATTGCTTATCTACTACGTGTCAGTCACTGCTCAAGACACTGGGGATAAAGCGATGAACAAAATCCCTGCTCTGTATACCATCTGAGAACACAGGAATTGCACGAACATATTTAAATCAGTGGTAACAAGCACTATAAAGAAAAGTAAAGCGTCTTCCCATCTCCACCTCACCTTTTGCTGGGGCAGTTTTCTTGCTCATTCACATCCTCTCTTCCAGCTGGGAAGTGTCAAGAATTCCTAGATCCTCTCATTCTTCAAGTTTCTAACATGCTTATTTTAACATGCTGATCCACAAGCCTGGATCACAATCATTGTCCTTTGTGCTCTTTCTCTATTTCCACTAATGTTTAAAACAGAGAGTGCCTGCTGTGTTCCAAGCATCATATTGGGCTCCTTTTGTGGCTTTTCTCATTTTATTCTCACAACACTGGGAGAGGAGTACAACCATTATATCCCCACTTTATAGGTGAGGAAAGTGAATCTTAAGAAAGGTTAAGTCATACAACAAACAAACCTACTGCAAATTTATGCAGCCTCATTTAATCAAAGGTCCTTCCTATTCCTTTCTTGCCAATTACTTTGCCACGTCTACCCGCACTGTTTCTAGCATTTCTCACGATGCAAAATAATGAAAACAGCAAGATGTTTCCCTATCCAACACTCTTGATTACAACAACTGAGGAGTCCTTGAAACTACTTCCTTAGATAATAGAGTAATTTTGTCATATGTAAATGGTAACAAATAATAATACATTTTTCCTAGGCTGTTGCAAGGATTCACTGAGATAATGCATTTGAAATGCCAAGCTCAGTGCCTGGCGTGTGACAAGCACCCTACAGTCTTCCTTCCATCCAACTCCACCCCGTCTCCATCACTGAGAGGACTAAGGCTGTGAGGCTCCAAGTTCCTTCTACTCTCTGTTTCAGTCTCAGTCTACTGACTCAACTTTTCAGTGTAAGTGTAAAAGTAGGGGTATCTCTGCCCTCCAAGCCCCAGCTCCCTGGCCACCTGAAACAGCCTTTCTGGCTGACTTTCTCATAGTGGCCGGGGCACCAACACATCACAACAAAGGCCTGCCATATGCCCTCCTTCCCTGTGCCACACCACAGCCTACAAGGCAAAACACCAATCTGCTGTGATCTTACAGGTACAAAAGCGTGGGTGGTCAGCACTTCAAGTGGCAGAAATTCTGACACGTGGAGTATCTTCTGAGCAATAGCTTGAGGGTCAAAGATCTGGGTTTGAATCCTGCCTCTGCTATTTAATAGCTATGTGATCTCAGGATGCTACAATGGAGGGGAAAAAAATGAGCAGTTCAATATCTCTTAGGTTATTTGTCAATAACTTGACACATACAATTTCCTTTTTAACTACTGAACTCTAAGCCTTAGTTTCTCACATGGAAAAGGGGAGTTTAGGGACCCTAAAACCTCTTACAGAGTTACTGTGTGGATTAAATGAAGCAAAAAGTCTTAAATTGCTTCAAACAGTCTCTGGCATAGAGCAGATAGGTGAAGAAGTGTTTTTTCCTCTCAAATTTCCGATTATTACCATTTTAATGTCACATGCTGGGCAGCAAACCTCTCATTCTGCAGAAGGATGCAGAACACAGGAATTCATTCTTTAGGTCAGGGCTCACCTTTCACCTCTGGCCCCAGTCGTGCCTGACCACAGAGAACATGCTGCCTCTGGGCCCTGACAAAGGCATAGGCCATGGCCACACACTGTTACCCAGTCAGTAATTTTACTTGCTGCTTGCTTATCCGGAAGACATGGCTACCACACATTTCCAGTGTAACCACTACCTCTCATTCCACTATAGTACATAAGCCCCAGTTTTGTCTGTTAGGGCCTGGATGTACCTGAGATGTCCTTGACATTGCTTTCAATGAAAAGAAGAAATTAATCTGCAGTCAGGCTTTGTATGGCAGCAGCTGATGAAAGAAATGAGTGTTCCAAGCATCATGTTGGGCTCCCTTTGTAGCTTATCTCTTTTTATTCTCACAACACTAGGAGGCGAGTACAACCATTATATCCCCACTTTTCAGATGGGGAAAATTAAAATGAATCTCAAGAAAGGTTAAGTCATACAACTGGCAAAGTTGATATATGAATTCTTGTCTATCTGGCTCCAAACCTATACGGAGATGCTTTGCTTTTGTTTGGTTAGTTTTCCCTTAATCCCTTAGCCTTTCAGAACAGGTCTGGGTTACCAGCATTGCAGAAGCCAAGCCTGGCAGCAGGCCTTATAGAGGGGCCAGTAGGTCTACCCCAGGGCCTGAGGTCACAACAGCCAAGCAGGCCGAAAAGTCCGCACTCACCTTCCTGGCCGTGCTTGCGAAGTGGGCCCCACATGCCTTGCAGCTTGGTTCCGAGCCTGTTGGGGAAGGGAAGGAACTGTACCCAGGGTTGGAATAGGCCTGCGTCCTGGCCCCCTGGGGCGGTGGGACCTCCTCAGGCTGTCCATCCAGGCAAAACCAGTTACAGCAGGTTGCCCACATGATGCAATCTGGTGCAAGGGAGGAAAGGGAAAAGGTCAGAGTTAGTACACACCTCTACTGTGTCCCCATTCCCAAGGACACAGGTGAGCAGGAGCACTCACTCCACACCTGCCTCCAGAGCTGAGGTGAGAACATGTTTGCCTCTTCTACCTCATTTGCTGATGCCCGTAGTAAGTGGGTATAGACACCAGGTCAGCCAGGACAATGGCTGCCAAGCTGGCATGCATACTACCTTTTAAAGGTTGCTGATCCCTGCTTGGGTTTAACTGAGATCTAATTTCACATAAAATTTTTTGCTTTAGCAATTATAAGTGGCCTAACACCCACCTTATTCAGGAACATGACCTTGCTGCTAGAGCTCAGACAGACAGCACTTCATCATGCATGCATGGACATATACATTCACACACATACATATGCATATGATCCCACACTCACTGTTGTCATGGGAAAGACGTATTATTTCTTTAATACAGATGAAGCAAACTAGGCTCAAAGACATCAAGGTCACACCGCTAATAGAGAACTGAGATGCTGAAAACCCAGGTCTTCTGACTATAAAACTGATGTTCCCTTTCCTATACCATGCTACTGACCCTTGATTTCCCCTCACATCATCCAGCAGAAAGAACTACTCTCGCATTTGCACCTCCTCCAATCCTACATAAACTTCTCTTACAGCAACTATAACAAGTTTCTTGCACAGATACACTTACCCTTTGTTTCATAACGCTAAACTAAAAATTCCTGAGGGCAGGGACTACTCATTCATATATGTACAGTAGCCTAGCAGTGTCATGCACATAGCAGATGCTCAACAAACAGTTGCTTCTCGTCAATCAGTGTCTCTGTGGGTTTATTAAGAAGTTTTGGATTATTTACGTATCAAATACAGGTACTAGGTCAAGGAGGCTGACAACTTAAGATCACAGAACATAAAACATGCAATCCTTCACATGCCAGAATAACGTAAAGACTGCAAGAGGGTCCACTAAAAAGCCAAGCATTGCTGTGATAACAGTAGTAAGAGTGTGTCTTTCTCAGTAGACTGAGGTAGGCAATATGGACATTGTGAGCCAGAATTTTTCACTTAACAAAGATAACAAATGAAACATTTAGTGTTATTATTACTCAATAATCTCTTCACACAAAAGAATGGTACTTTCTGCTCTGCCTCCTCTGACTCACTGAAAGTGCCTTTGTTAAATCATAGTTAAAAGATGTGGTAAGCTGGAAGGAATGAAGAAACCACTTGGTTCAACCTTGGTCATTTTACAGAGGAAAAGAAAGAGGTCCTGTAGGGGGAAGGAGCTTCCTGGTTCACACAGCTGTAACCTTAGGCCTCAGACTACTCCAGGGCCTTCTTAGTTTCCAATCATTGTCTCCAATACACCGTGATATGCTTAATTCATTTTTGTAGGTGTGTGTGATGAACAGCTGCCTCCCCCACTTGCCTGTGACCCCCTTGAGAACAGGGACCGTGACATTATCAGTGCCCAGCACACAGGTAGCTCAATAAGGACTATGGAATGAGTGAATCACACACAACATATTCAAATCTTCACTAACCACATACTTGTTCCATTTCCTACACATCAGAAACATTTTTCTCTGGCTCACTATTACTTGTCCAAAGACTCTTAAGTTCCCAGAAGATAGGGACTTAATCTGCCATACTTCCAATTAATAATTCACATAGAATAATAAGGAGCAGTTAAATAAGTTCTTTCTTGGCAAGAAAATAGAGACAAAATAGAGTAGTAGCCCTCTGAATAAGGAATGTTAGCCCTGCTGTGCTAAAGAGCTGTGTTCCCTCCCTCTAACAAGTCACCACCTTTCTGTACTTCATTCTCATCTGGACATTCTCTAGGCTGTAGAGCATGAACCAAACATTAGCTGTTGCTCCCAGCATTTTAACAATGCTTTAGCTACAGTTTCTCTGGGAAGGCACAGGTAAAAGTAAACCTAGGGATTTCACCAAAACTACCGCTTGGCCACCTGAACTTGTCCCAAAAAGGGACAGACAGCTCTTTGGCAGAATTAGCAGGATATGTCAGTTAGCTGCATGAGGTGGGGGAAGGAGAGTAACAGGGCAGCCCTGAGTCCAAGGCTGTGGGTGACTCTCTAACTGCTGTCGATCTCTGCTCACCCATACACACAACCTTTTACTGAATCCAATGCCTTGCTGTTTTCAGTGTTAGTAAGATAGAGTACCTACCCTCAAAGAGTTCATGGTCCAACAGGAGAACTAGAAACGTAAAACTAAAAATTGAAATTTCAGAGTGATCAATGCTTTAATGGAGGTTTGTACACTGCATGGGGGGTAGTTACAAAGATGGAAATGATCGCTCCTCAGGGGTGGAGGGGTGATCAGAGATGACATTTTTTTATTAAGTTATCATTGATATACAATCCTATGAAGGTTTCACATGAGCAACATTGTGGTTACTACATTAACCCATATTATCAAGTCCCCACCACATAATACCCCGTTGCAATCACTGCAGAGATGACTTCTTAAACGAGGTGCCATACATCCTGATGTGGGAGTAAATGGGAATTTACCAGCAAGCCAAGAGTTAAAGGAATTTTCAAGAAACAACAAACAGCATGCACCATGGCATTAAAGGAACTAGAAAATGCTTGGTTGGTGGAGGTGAATAAAGGTACAAGTAAGGCAGCAGCCATCAAAAACCTTGTATCTCATAGTGAGGAATAGGGAATATGGACTCTATCCTGTAAGTAATGGGACACAATTAGGGATTCAGGCAGTTGGGTTTGTGATCTCATTAACCTCTGGGAGTGTGCATTATGGCAGTAAGCAGTATGGAGAACAATTTGCAAGGGCTAGGCTGGAAGCAAGAATTAGCTGTAGTAGTAGAGGCATATACAAGGAGATGGGATAAGAGAAAGGGAGAGATCTTTGACAGAATGCAGGATGTGTCAATGAACTGAAAAGGTGGGGAAAGGAGTGCATCCCAGGGTCTCTCTGAATCACACAGCAGGGACAGTGGAATCATTACCTGGAATGGAGCCCTCAGGAGGAGGCATGTGTCTGTGTGTGAAGGACTGGAGGCAGGTTAAAATAATGTTGTGTATCCATGGGACATACTGATGTGTACACAACACACAGGGGGATGGTCTCAGTTGAAGATAAAGGTTTGGGAATCCTCAGCCTAAAGCCAGAGTGGGGCAGAAGACAATTAGATAGTCTGGATCAGAAGAGGCAGTGGCCTGGGTGAACCCTGTGAGCGCTGGATGTAAAGGGCAAGCAGAGGAAAACCCACCAGCAAAATAGAGGAAGGAGGAAAGCTCAGAGGTAAGAGAAATGGAAGAGTATTTTGAGCTTCAAGAAGAAATGATCAATGCTGTCAGATGGTCCAGAGAACAAACAGGAGGAATGCAAAATGCCCAATGCACCTAGTTTTCGGAAAATGTTAGTGTGCTCTTTGCCTGAGCTGCTGACTGACACCACTAGCTGCAAAGTAAATGAGAAGTGAGAATTTGCCAGACTCTAAGGATAAATTATTCTTCCAAGAAACATTTGACCGAAGGGAGGAGAGATGGCAGTAACTGGAGAGGATCGGGTCACTAAGAAATGTACATGCATTCATAGACTGCAAAGGAAATCCCCAAAGACTAAGAGATTACGGACGAAGGGATGCTGGCAATAAATGATGGCACTCGGGCAAGGGGTAGAAAGAAAAGTGACCAAATGATCAGATTTGGGGGTGGACTCTACTCCTGGCAGGAAAGATCATTTCTTTCACCAGAGTGGGGCAGAGTGAAGACAGATGTAACCAAAGATAAGTTCATAGTGTTAGCAGAGAAAGGTGAGAGAATGAAATAAAAAGGAAAGAAGAGATGTGCATATAACTGCACAAAAAAAGCAAACCTTTCCTCCATATGCTGCCATTTTTTTCCTAAGAAAAATTCCTATTTTTTCCTAAAATTATTTTGCCACATAACAGGCCCACCTGGTAAGGCACAATCAGGAGAAAAAACTGGAAAGCCGGCCAGCTGTGCATTGTTTAAATCCACTCGCTTTAACAAGCACTTAGAAAGTCCCAGCTTTGTCCAGGGTGCTGGTGTTATCAAAAGTGACTTTAACAAGGTCCTTGCCCCCAGGGGACTTCGGGCCCAGTAAGGCACAGCTCAACCTGGCCATCTAGCTAACCCGTAGGCAGGAAGTCAAGAGAACCCATCTTTCTCAGCACTGTTTTCATTCTCTCGACTTTGGTTCTAATCTTAACTGCCTCCTCTGAACAGCTCTGAAAAAAAAAGCCATCTGCCTGCTCCTGTATTTGGCTACTCTTAGAAGGCATTGGCTGTATGAGAAGACTTGGTATTTACCACACCCTTATTTTGTAGGCCCATGTTTAGGTGGAGAATGGACTTATAGAGTATGTCCATGTAGGGAAGAAGTTATTATGGAAAGGGCCAGAGAGAAAGAGTCTCCAGTGTTAATATACCTTACACCTGCTCAGTCTAACAGAACAGGTTCACCAAAGTCAGCAGACTAGGCTTTTATTCTTTTGCCATATATTAAAATACCAAAAAGACACATTTTCTAACTTAGTCAATTTAAAGTACTCTCTTGCCAAACTGGAAGGCCCTAAATAAGCCTAAAAAACCACATATATTCAGGTTAATTCAGGGAGTGAAAAGAAAGATTTTGTAATTTTAACATTGCCATACAAGCTAGACACTTTTCCCTTGGGAATATTTTTCCATCCCTCAGTCCTGATCAGATACACATATGTGACATATGATAATGTTATAAAAGGACCGAAAACAGAACCAACTGTTGGGTACATAAAGATTTCTCCCTATAGTGACAACTTTTGAAATACTTCCCTCTTTGATCTGCAAACCTCCTTGCCCAATTCCCTAACCCTCTTCAGAAAAGATGGGCTTGGCAATTTAACCCTCAAATACAGTCTCTAACTGCTCTCCCACTGAGTTCGTTTGAAACCTGCTAGGCTTTCCTCTTCCACGTTGCTTAGCA